ATATTGATACATTATAATATATAGTTAATTGTAAATTAAAACTATATATTATGAGAGATATTATTTGAATGAGATTCAAATAAAATTAATATGAATAAGATTCATATTAAAACTATAGGTTAAAAATAATGTGCATAAGATGTACATTAAAACTATAGGTTATACGAGAGAAATGTTTTAGAATATGATTTAATTTTATAAATAATTAAGTGTTAATTATTTATGTATATATATATTTATTAATTATTAATTGGATTAATAATTAATTAATTTGATTAATTAATTATATATATATTAATTATTATATATATATTTTAATTATTATTATATATTATAAATATATATATATATATTAATATTAATATTAATATTATTATTAATATTAACTCCCCTGCAATATTGCAGGGGAGTGGGGGAGTTATGTGACGTGGGGTAACTCCCCACGTCACTGTTTTTTCTGCAAAACCCAAGAAAGGTTACATAAAACAGAGATTTTTACAGAACTCTCAAGCTTCTCTCGTGCAATCTCTCTATCAAACTTTCCCTCTGGTTCCAAAGAATTTCTCCCACAAGAACGATCTCGTACCCAGAGGATAGCGAGGAAGGCTCGGTGGTGGTGTTCGTCGGAATTTTGTTGAAAAAACGTTCTTCAAAGGTATTGAATTTCCTCTGTATTTTCCTTCTTTGAAATTCGATTTTGTATCCCGAAAATCAGCAACGAAGATCCGGTTCCGCTCCGGGATTAACATCTCTTCACTTGAGTTTCACATCCCTGTATGATAACTGCTGAGCTATGGTGTCATTGAGTGTCCGCTGGTCTCCATACATCATCAGTGGCGGAGGTGGCCTCCCATAGACTGCTTAAAAGGGGGTAACCCCGAGAGACCCGTGATAGGTCGTATTATACCAGTATTCTGCCCACGATAGCTACTGCTTCCAACTCTTGGGGTGTTCACTACTAAAGCACCGAAGGTAGTTTTCGAGCCATCGGTTGACAACTTCCAATTGGCCATCTGTCGGATAATGGTATGCTGTTTGCGCTTCAGGGTAGTACCTTGGAGACGGAACATCTCAGTCCAAAAATGGCTGAGGAAGATCTTGTCCCTATCGGAAATGATGGATCGTGGGAATCCATGGAGCCGGACAATCTCTTGGACAAAAGTAGCTGCGACCGTCTTGGTAGAAAAAGGGTGGCGAAGATGAATGAAATGGGCATACTTGCTCAACCGATCCACCACCACAAGGATTGTATCATCCCCTTGTGATCACGGCAAAGCCTCCACGAAATCCACTGTTACGTCCTCCCATATGTGATCTGGTAGGGGAAGGGGTTGTAGTAGTCCGACAGGGGATAGGGCCTCTGTTTTGTGCCTTTGGCATACCTCGCACTATGTCACGTGTTTCTTGACATCCTCCTTCATTCCATGCCAATAGAGCTCTCCTGTTAGCCTCTTATAAGTTCTCAGAAATCTCGAGTGGCCTCCCATCACTGAATCGTGATACATCTGTAAAATTGCAGGAATAAGGGTAGAAGATTTTGAAAGTACCAGCCTATTTTTGTAGTAGAGGGTTCCCTGATGTAGGTGGAACTTGGTTGTTCCTTTTGGGTCTTCGGCCACTTCAGCGATCACCTTGGCCAGATGGGGCAGCTATTACTTCTCGTCGGGTTATGTCAATGTTTATTATAGTAGGGGTCGTTAGAATCGTCAGTTGGGGAGTTGTTAGCATCCGTGAGAGGGCATCGACTGCCTTGTTTTCTAACCCGGGCTTGTATTGGATCTCGAAGTTGTAGCCTAGTAACTTTAAAAGCCATTTCTGATATTCCGGTTAAATGATCCTCTGTTCCAAAAGGTACTTCAATGCCTGCTGATCTGTTCTTACAACGAACTTCTGTCCCAACACGACCTCCATCGCTGAATTGCCAAGACGACAGCCATCAACTCCCGTTCGTAGACTGATTTAGCCTGATTCTGAAGTGACAGGGTGTGGCTGAAGTAAGCTACTGGACGTTGATTTTGTGTCAGGATGGTCCTCAACCCCGTTCCTGAAGTGTTTGTCTCGACCACGAAGGGGATGCTGAAATCCGGTAGCACCAACACTGGCAGTGTCACCATGGCTCATTTCAGCCTCTCAAACGCCTCAGTTGCCTGCTCTATCCATTGAAACCCATCTTTTATGAGAAGTTGGGTGAGAGGGGCGGCTTAGTCAGCCACAAATTTCCTATAATACCCCGTCAAGCCCAAAAATCCTCGGAGTTCCTTGACATTAATGGGGATTAGCCATCTCAACTTCACTTCTACCTTGGTTGGATCTGCTTCTACTCCTTTAGCTGACACCCAATATCTCAAATACTCTATCCGATCTACCGCAAACTGACATTTCTTAAGATTCACAAATAGGGAGTTCTCCCTCAACGTATTAAACACAATCGCTAGATGTGTAAGGTGAATCTGCAGGTCAGTGCTATAGACAAAAATATCATCAAAGAAGATTAATACGCACCTTCGGAGGTAAGGTCTGAACACATTGTTCATGAGCGATTGGAATGTAGATGGCGCGTTAATCAGCTCGAAGGGCATCATGAAGAACTCGTAATGTCCATCATGAGTCCTGAAGGTTGTCTTATGAGTGTCTTCAGCCGCCATTCGTATCTGATGATATCCTGACCTGAGGTCAATCTTCGAATAAACATTTGATTCATGTAATTCGTCTAGCTGTTCTTCTACCACTGGGATCGGGAAGTTATCCGGCACGGTTACATTATTTAGGGCTCTGTAATCAACACAAAACCGCCAGCTACAGTCCTTTTTCTTCACCAATATGATAGGACTGGAGAACGGGCTGACGCTTGGCTTGATGATCCCAGCTTCCAGCAGTTCGCCAATCAAATCCTCTCTCTCTCCCTTCTGCACGTGCGTATACTAATAGGGACGAACGTTCACTGGGGCTTGCCATTCCTTCAAGGGTATCCTGTGATAAATCTCCCTATTCGGGGGCAGCTCCTCTAGTTTCTAGAATATGTCCAGGTACTCATGTACCAGTTCTTCAACTATTGGTAACAGAGTTTCCTTCATTTCGTCATCCTCGTCGGGATGGGTGGATAGGGCATGCAACTCCACCAGATACCCTTCGTCTTGATTTTCCCATTGTTTAGCCAACCTTTTCATCGAGACTTCCAAGCGGGCCAAGAAGGGATCACCCTTGATTACGATCTCTTTCCCTCCTCTGTCGAACTTCAATGTGAGCATCGGCCAGTCCGCTTCCATCTTCTCCATGGTCTGAAGCCATTGCATCCCTAGAACCATGTTTAACGAACCCAACTCCAGCGGAAGAAAGTCTTCCTTCACCGTTAGTTCCGACAAGGTGAGAACCACCCTCTGACATACCCCGTTTCCTTTGACCGTCAGTTCATAACTCACTCAGGATTGAGATCGAGTTACCTAGTCATCCTATTGAAATATTAATCCAGTAGCTAATGGTGTTAAGCTAAGGATTAATTATTTCGTGGTTCGGTCTTATACAAACTTAGTATAGGATATCCACACACGCATGTCTTCACACGAACGACGTAGATCAAGTCATTTGTAACTATTACAAAGTAGGTCGTATCCATAATGTTACCAAGATAAGGTATCCAACCTTATCCATATACTATAGACCCTTTAGGTTACTACTGGAACATTATCCACTTGCATATCGAATATATACTGTATATCAATCGAGTATATACTGTATATCAAATATATATGTTGTATATTAAATATATCTATATATCTGTTATATACTGTTCCAGTTACATGACATAACCTCAAATGATAGTTTATTGGATTTTGGTTAATTCAATTCTAAGAGAAACATCAATAACAACTTTATTAAATAAATAATTATTTTATGTGTACAAACCACGAGTTTAAGGCATAAAACCCGACCGTAAAGGATAGTTAAGAACATTTAGTTTTAAAGAAAATTTGAATTGTTCAAAGGGAATTAAAGGTAATTGTATGAGATAAAATTAATGTAATGTATATTGATACATTATAAAATTAATTTTGAATTGGATTGAAAATTATTCTATTTTGTCATGAGAGAGTTATTTGAATAATATTCAAATTAAAATTTAATATGAATTGGATTCATATTAAAACTATATGTTAAAATTAATATGCATAAGATGAGATGAGAGAATTATATTTAAATTTGATTTAAATACATGTTATTAATTAGTTATTGGTATTTTGAATAATTACTTATATTAATCATTTAATAAAACTAATTATTAATTAATTAAATTATTTTATTTATTTTAATTAATAACTTCCCACACTCCTTCCTTTTTGTAGGAGAGCGGGGGAGTGATGAGGTGGGTGAATTGTTAAATGCAGAAAAAAAACTGCATCCCCTAGTTGCCACTTTAGTTTTTGGTTTGTAAAAAGAAAACAAACTCTCTCAAATTTTTCCTATGTTCTTCAAAGGAAGGTTCTCATATAACCAAATTCTTATTGTCCAGAAGATAGTGGGGAAGATCCATTGATGGTGTGATTGATTTAACAGAAAAAAAGTTCTTCAAAGGTAAGAAAAACTTTTCCCCTATTTTTTTTCTCTTTATTGTGTAGTCATTTCTCCTTAAAATTCAAGAACAAGATCTTTGTTTTCGCTGCGGGACTAACGTTCTTTCATTGACCATGTGTGCAAACTCAAGAAATCAATCTATGGACTAAAACAAGCACATAGAGCATGGTTTGATTGACTTGCTACTTATTTAATGCATATGGGATTCACATGTTATCGTTCTGATCCATCACTCATTATTTTTAATCGAAACTCAATAATCCTACTAATGCTTGTTTATGTAGATGATATAATTCTTACAAGAACAAATGCAGGCAGTAGAAACGTGAGCTTGTGATGTAGCTACACCTAATTCCAAACCGGTTAATGCGGGATCGGGCTTTTTCCAACTGTTCAATATTCAACAACATATAGTCAAACTTGGATCTGAGTTTGCAGTAAAAGATCTTGGAACTCTACGTACTTTTTTGGAATAGAAGTGCATCACGACACACATGAACTCATGCTCACTCAAGAGAAGTACACTAGAGATATCCTTGTGAAAACTAAGATGCTAGAAGCTACCTCTATTAACACTCCAATGTCCAGCACAATAACGAAATTGAGTAATGATTCTAATAAAGTTCATGTTAAAGAATATAGAAATATCGTAGGTTCCTTACAATATCTTACTCTCATTAGGCCAGACAATCTGTTAATAGAGTTTGCCAACACTTACAACATCCCACAATGAAAGATCTTATAGCTGTGAAACGCATTTTGAGATATTTGAAAGGTACACTAAACCATCGCATAACATTTTACAATAATAGTTCTATGAATTTGTATGCTTTTTGTGATGCAAACTAGGAGGATGCAAAGAAACAAGAAGCACAACAAGGTACTGTGTGTTCCTAGGATCAAATTGCATCTCATGGTTGTCAAAGAAACAAACTACCGTTGCTCGATCAAGTATAAAAGCTGAATATTGAGCCATGGCCACCACTGCAGCTAAACTTACATGGATCACATTCATTCTTCGAGAAATTTTCTGCGATAACATGAGTGCTCTCCACATGTCTATCAACCCAGTATTCCATTCTAGAACCAAACATGTTGAAATGGATTATCACTTTGTTCGAAAAAGGTGGCATTAGGAACTCTCATTACTAGATATATACATCTCAACAAATAATTGACATCTTTACCAAACCATTAGCCAACAATCCTTTTTGTTCGCTACGAAACAAGCTTGAGGAAAAATGTAAAATCACCGATATTTAGATGAATTTTTGGTGTGTAGCACCCATGGTACCAGATCAAAGACAGGTTCTTAGCTGAGTAATTACAATTATTCTTTATTTGCTATATATTATTGTTGACATATCTCTTTTATTTTACTTTAATTACTTTCCTAATATACCCAAAAGTCAAATTTACAATGTGAAAGAGTCCTTCGTGATGTATATTTAATGGGTTTACACCCACAATCACAATAAGAAAACTGATTCAATTGATTCAGTACGGTAGGCTGAAATTTTACAATATGTAGAGGTGAGGATTCGGACTCACAACCTCTTGTTGGAGATAGATGTCAATTATCGTGAAATTATGCTCACTTTAGCTCCTCTCTCATATTATTGAAATAATAATAAGTTCCACCTAATAAATAGAATACAACGGTTTAATCTACACGTAACTAACCTCTAACTAATTACATTTAATCTCAATAACTTTATTCAAGATATCTGTTTGATGGCCACTCTCTGTAATGTCTCCTTTTTGCATGTTCAGAGAACGACAAATAAATTAGCTCATAATCTTCATTCAAATGAAATTGTTCTTTGGATTTCTAGAATTTCTTCTCCATCTCAAATGGAGCCCAAGTGAAATATGACCATTATATAGGCCATGTGGCAGTCCACAATCATTAATGAAATTTGTAATGTTATATAAAAAAGAGAAAAAGAATTTTTGCATTTATGTAGGGCTTTTTCGAAAGATTATAAAAAGTCTCGTTAATTGTGTTCATTTTGTTCTGCGACGTGACTGATGGAAGATTGTGTGGCAGCATGCTAAACACCGGTGTGGTGCTCTGCCTAATTCATTTTAATGCCTAAGTTAGAACTCAATTCGAAAGAGTTAAGAGGAGAGCCATAGTATGGAGCAAGATGTTGTATACCTTTGAGATGGGTTAGACGCCTCCTTTTATAGGAGATCATTTTGGGAAAACATGCTTTCAGAGATTCGGGTCATATCGTTGGGTAGCGTTCCAAACAAGCCACAATGATGCTTTCACAAGTGACATTATACTTCCGCTAACCTATCATGCCAAACCCATACTTTTGCCAAATGTAAGTGGATGCCCAGTTGGGTAGTCTTTTCCCAAGGAGAATGGACATCCAACCCAAATACTCTTATTCGTGGTGGAGTGCTTCAAGTAGGATGGATGCGATTCATCCTCGATCTCTTCCTGAATACTGATCAACGTTCTCTCTGGAGCATAGTTGCTCGTCTTGGGGACATGCAGATCTTCTCATCTTGGCTTATCGAGTTTGGACTTGGGCCCTCCATCCAATGTGGTGCTTGGGGATTAGTCCACGTGCATATTTGAGCGTATAACAAACTTGTTTTTCAATATTATAATGAAAATATATAGAATTAAATAATTAAAGATAAATTGATGTCACTAGTAAAAAGTAAAAAAAAAAACTTAAAATATTTGATTAATTATCTTACATTTTAAAATTACACTAAATAAATAAAGCCTTATATTTCTGATGTTTTTCAAATTAACCAACTCGCAAAACGTTGCAATGTAATTCAGTAAATATTAAACAATAAAAATGGAATTAAAACGAAGTTTTTTTGTGGTTGCTTTACTTCCTCTGAGTTGACTCGGCGTTTTCAATTGCAATTCCTTTTTCTAATTCTATAACCTTCACCACCACGAAGATTAGAATAAGAAACACAGATCGAGGAGTTCTTCAAATTCTTCGTTTCTTTTTCCTCCTTCATTGGACGCGCAATCGATTCCCATTAGATTGGTATGAAATCTTCTCTATTTGAACGGCGTTAATTTGATTGTGATTCATTCAATTCTATTTCTGGAGCCGATCATTCTTTTTTAATTGATGATGGCATATGCAGTTTCGGTTTGTATGAATCCACTTAGATTTTTTTTATTTTCTTTTCTTTGATTAGGTGCGTAATCTGGTAGCGATCTTGTTTTGATAAAGATATTGATTGGGTTGGGCTCATTGGAGGGCGGATTTGATGGATTCGTCGTCGAATCAATCTGAGTTTGATTACTTGTTCAAGTTGTTGATGATTGGGGACTCGGGGGTTGGTAAAAGTAGTCTGCTATTGAGTTTCACTTCTGATAGCTTCGAGGATCTCTCACCAACAATCGGTAAGTTCCGCCATTACAGATCGTTTTGTTGAAAATTATTTTGAATTTTTCTTTCATTTTGTGGGATCTTGCTCATTTTGTTGGAAATGGACGTAGACAATCGGTTGTTTGCTGCCGAAACATTGGAGTATCATTTTAGAGAAAATGTTGATGTTTCACTTTCTTCACATTCTGCATGGGATTGAGGGCAACAAATTAAACGAAAGAGAAAATCCAGAGGGTCATGGTTAAGAAAATGAAGAATGAAATTGTTAATCATCAAAGACCAGAATGAGCTCTTAGACAATCAAGGCAAATGTCTGAAATGCCAAAATGAGAAGTCATGAATAGATAATTTGTTAACGGAATGTAACCTTTTTGAAGTAATGTATGGTTGATTTTTCTTTCTTCGTATTGCAGGATAAGTATTATAGCATTATTTGCAGGATGAGCATTATAGCACTACAAAAAGAGCTTCATTGTAGGCATTTTATTAATTGTTAATATTGTTTCTACCAGCTTTACTATTACTGGTCATTTAGAGTTCTGAATTCTGTTTCTGCTTACTAACCAGTGCAGTGTAATCTGTGTGTATGTGTTTGTGTTTTTGTGGGGCTACGAAATAGAAAAGATTGTCTCTATACCTGTGTAAATTTGGCTGAATTTCAAGATGATTAATTGAAATGATGGATTATATGCCATTCCTTTTATTAAGTTAAAATTAACAAAATTGATAATTTGAAATGAATTTTATTATAATCCTTGAGATACATGTTTCATTGTGTTGGGTTGATTAAAATGCAAATTGTCACAAGCTTGGCTCATGTCGACGTAATCCGCCTTGCAATGACAGGACAACCATTAGAGAAATAGAAGACAATTCTACTTAATTGATTGTTATTTTGCTTGCTCAGGTGTGGATTTCAAGGTAAAGTATGTTACTGCTGGGGGTAAGAAGCTAAAGCTTGCAATTTGGGATACAGGTAACTAAGCTAGCCCAACTACATTATTTTCATAGGCATGACATTCTTCTATTCTTTCCTCTTCCTCCCTTTTATTTTTTGAGAGAAATCTATTCTCTTTCTCACACATACAAAGTACATGTTTTTCAGAGAAGCACGTAATGGACAAGTAATCTGATTAATTTACCAGAAGTTTCATAATTAATAATCAATTTCAATTGTTTAAATACAATATTGAAGAATAGGCACATGGATAAATAAGTTATAGATACGTTCAGTTTTGGCCATTGTCATATTTTGTTTTTTGTTCAGCACGGAATTTTACCACACGACCTGATCATGAACTCCACCATAGAATGTTGGAATCTAGTTGGAAATCCGAAGCTGGAATCTAGTAGGAAATCTGTGCAGTAATCCTTAATTCTTCATATTTTTTTCCTGTGTTAATAATAGAAGTAGAACAATTTGATATATGAACTATGAGGCATAATTAAATGGCATTGACAAGATAATAAATTTAATCAATTGAAAAACAGATCTAGATGGCAAAAATTGATGTTGATTCGTCATACCATACTAGAGCTATTTCATTGAGTTTAGAAACTTGTTATCATTAGTATTATGTCTCAAACAAATCTATTCTGCAAAGTCTAACTAAATGTTCAGTTCTTAAATGTTTTCTTGTACTGAATGCTGAATCTGCATGAAATAAACGTTCATCACATCTCCCAGTAAGGAATTCTGTAAAGTCTAACTAAATGTTCAGTTCTTAAATGTTTTCTTGTACTGAATCTGCATGAAATAAACGTTCATCACATCTCACAGTAAGGAATTCTATAAAGTCTAACTAAATGTTCAATCCTACAGCTGGGCAGGAGAGATTCAGAACATTGACGAGTTCGTACTACAGAGGTGCTCAAGGGATCATTATGGGTGTGTTTTATTCCCCCCTTTTACGTGATTATTTTAAAGACTGAACTAATAAAATGTTGTCTCCAATATTCTAAAATTGTAAATATCTTAGATGTGATTAGTTTAAAAAAATGTTAATGATTTTATCAAATTGTAAGTCGTTCACTTGTTTGGCTATCCAATATTTTGCAATTGCTTTTTCTGTCTTCTAGTCTTGATTTTGACATGAAAGGTCAACTGTGGCAGTTTATGATGTTACACGGAGAGAGACATTCACAAATCTGTCTGAGGTATGGGCGAAGGAAATAGACCTATATTCAACAAATCAAGACTGCATCAAGATGCTTGTTGGAAACAAAGTTGATAAGGTATGCGTCTTCAACTTCCATTTGAAAGTATCCATATGCCTGAAGCAGCTGGCGGGCTTTAACATATTTCTTATTACAGTGACTTGGGTTAGTGTGTGACATTTGTGTGGATATTGATTAACTGATCAAATGTATAGTAAATTGAAATTCCCATGCCAAATGAAAATTCAAGTTAAATATTGAGAACTTTTTGAACGTAATTTAAGTTATGAATAAGTGATTTTTCAGAAGCCAAAGTATTTTTGATTTGAGTTGTTTGGAATGTATGAATTCAAAATTGGAAATTCACTTCCAATGGAATTCCATTGTCGTTTGTAACAATAATTTAGTTTTAGAAACGAGTTATATTTTTTATTTATATTTTAAAAAATAAAAATTTTGGGATTTTGTGGGGTATTTGGTTGGAAAGAAAAGTTAGAATCTTTAGGGGGTGGAGAGAGAATGGGAGTCTGTTTGGGACCTCATAAGGTTTAATGTCTTCTTATGAGGTCTGTTTCGAATTTGTTTTGTAATTATTAGTTAGGTTCTATTCTTTTGGATTGGAAGCCATTTATTTAGGCTGACTTTCTTTTTCTGGATTGTTGTTTTTGTATGCCCTTGTCTTTGTCTTTGTTTTTGTTTTTGTTTGTCTCAATGAAAAGTTCGGTTTCTTATTAGAAAAGAAATATATTTCTTTAAAAAATTTAGGAATTTGCCAATTAGGTAGTTCAGCTCAATTCCTTCTTTTTCCTATTGAAAAAATTTCAATTCATTTATTAAAATAAAGACTGAGATCCCTTTTCTTTTTGGAATCCATGGATATCTTCTCTAACTTATTGTGTCCTTTTAATGAAGTGAGGTTAAGATAATCAGATGCATTTTTACCAAAATAGTTTATTAAGGCAACATTTTGAATCTTCTTTATTATTTTTGCCAATCTGGGCAACTGGTTAAGGTATCATACATTTGTGCTAAAGATTAAGTGTTCAAATCCTTACCTCTAAATGAAATTCAACTTGACCCTTCATGCTATTATCAATTCTTTTCAACGACTTTAATTAGGCCATATCATTTCAGAGGAATTACATTTCTCATTTCCCTGTTACATTTGGAGGAACATTTCAAATTGATATAACTAACAGTGTTCCAGTTGCATTTTTTGTAACAAAAAATTGAACTTTCAATGGGAAGAATGAAAGAACAAAAGCAAGGTTGCACAAAGATTGGAAAAGAGAAAAGAAAGAAGAATGGCTAAGGGCTATACAATGGGAATTGGTGTCATCTATGAGTAATTAGTACTCAGTTGATGGTTAAAAATGAACTATCAACCAAGACTTTGAAATAAAATAAGTAATTCCTTTGATATTTTCTCAAGAAGGAATTATTACTGCGGTGGTTTCATGCTTTATTTCGTTTTTTGTATGGATTTTATTTAAAATTGACGTGCAAAATGGGAATAGTCTTTGTAGTTGAGATGCATCAAAAGGAACCGATTTCTGGTTCCTTTTACTCTGCAGTCAGGTCACACCTTGTCATAAATGATGGTTTTGCTTTTTAATGGACATGATTATATTGTGAAGTTAGGTTTATCTGAGACCCTTTTAATCTCTTCTGATATAGTTCTTCATTATCTGCATCTAATTCATTTTGTATCTGGATTTTTCTTTCTCAGGAAAGTTATAGGACGGTAACAAAGAAGGAGGGAATTGACATGGCCAGGGAATATGGTTGTCTTTTTATAGAATGCAGTGCCAAAACTCGAGTTAATGTACAACAATGCTTTGAAGAACTTGTTCTAAAGGTAGATTATCATTTTAGTACGATTTTTAGTTCACTTTTCGGTCAAAGGATTCATATAATTGATTTGTGACCATCAGGAACGTGTCACTTCCCCAGTTGTGACACTCACATTTCTGATATTATCAAAGGGAAAAAAAAATGTCGCATTCCTGGTTATAGGTTAAGATTAATGAGAGTTGCTAGATAATGGAAATTTTTTTGAACCTCTTGAGAAGTCGTGTTTTAAGATTGATTATTTTCCTTTTTTGACATCTTGAATTAATATGCTAATTTACTGATTTACTGGACATTTGCGTGGATGACAAAGCATGATAATAAGGAATCTTATATGCAGATTCTCGATACGCCCAGCCTTTTATCTGAAGGCTCTAAAGGAGTGAGAAGGAACATTTTCAAGGAAAAGCCTCCACAGCCCGACGCATCCACAAGCAGTTGTTGCTGAAATTGATTCATTATCTCTAACTTTATTTGCTGGTTGTTTTCTAAATTATTGTAAAACCATAGTAGAAAAGCATGGTGTTACAGTTAAAAGCATGGTGTTACAGTTTTATTATATCTCTCCTCACAAATTATGTTAGGAAGTTGAAAATGGTCTCGTCTTCTTGCTGGCTTTCTTGTACAGGGAAAAGTTGAAAAAGGAAATATAAGAAGATACATGATGATTTCATGTCTTTCTTGTCTACTTTTGTTTTGTTTATCATTGTAGTCGAAGAATTCACTGTTGAATTGACCTTTCTTTTTTCTGCCATTCGTCTTTACACTCCTGTCTATTGAGTCTAGGACAGCATGCCAGTAATAGGTGTCATATCTATTAAGCTATGTTCAGATTCGAACATATTCTTATAAGTGGTATAGAACATGAGGGGTTGGAAAGACTGCAATCTGTAGGTGTTCTCTCCTCTAAGGTCGAGTTCAATGTTGGACCAAATGAATGTCGAGTTTGGATTCCGTAGAAAGGGAAGAATAAGTCCTTTTCCTTCTATATATAGTTAAGAGTCTCTAGCTCGGTTGTTTGATTCTTGCAATTTTTTTTATGAAATATATGTTTTAATCCTTAATAGGTGAATGTTTTTTTAATCTAACTTTTATTGTTTAAAAGGTTTCAATCTAGTTATTATGTCTTAATATTTTTCAATTATATACTCTTAGTGAGTGTTCAATGTGATGGAGTTTACATGATATTTAATGAGTTGCCAATGACTTGGAGGAGCAATTTAGACATCGAGGAGAGTAAAAGTCAAAATTTCCAATATTAAGAGGGTGAATTATAAATTTCCTATGTAAAATCTAATTTGTTCTGTGTTTTTTGTTATATGTGCAAACATTTTGGTATGCAAATGTTTTATATTCGACCTCTTATAAATGTTAGAAATCCTAATATATGTTTCATATCAGATATACATTGCATATAGTATTGAATATATGATTTAATGACTATGTTACATGTCAACATGAGTGGGAGGTTCAAACTCTCGTACAAAACAGTCATGTTGCATGTTTTACCGGAGTTACTTTTTGAATTGGTGATAATAAAAAAATTGTTAGACAAAATGATTAGGAGGTCAAGAAGTGAACAAATATGGAATATTACAAGCGATAAACAAAATGAATTGAAATGTATACGAGTTTCCAAATGAACTACAATTGTAAAATTAGTACATTAGAACATAAAATACAGTATAAATCCAGTACATTAGTACATTAGTGCCAATAGATGGTATATATCAAATACAGTATAAAGAACATAAGAACTTGTATATATTATATGTCAGTCATAGTATTTTTTTCTAGTACATTTAGATGGTATATATGACAGATCAACCATATTATAATGATTTGTATATGGTTTAGGAATTTTTTGTTATGTAGTTTGTTATATTTTCATTAGGAAATAAGTGATAATTAAAAACGCTGTCAAACAAAAAGATGGTCGATGAAAGGTTACTCCATAGGAGGTAGGGTAGTTGGTGTGATGGAGCTCTATGGAGATTAAGAGTTTTAGGGAATGGCTCGGACACGGGAACGTTATGAAATCGATGAAATATTTTGGGATATTTGTAAGCTTTCTCCAGGTATCTGTACAAAATAGTTCTTTCTAGATTTTTCTTGAAGATTGTGAATAAATATCTAAAGAAAATGCTTTAGAAATATCTTAACTTTTCCAAGGGTGATGGATTCCAGAGAATTCGTTTGTATAACCATGAATTAATTAGAAGAATTTAGATTTTTTTTTTAAAAAGGCACAAATGCCACATCATTTAAAATAGTTCATTAGCAAATATCACTTAGTACCTCAAATGTCTAGATCACCATCCTTGACTTCATGATCCTTTTAGAACTATTTTTTAAAAATCGAGGACCAAACTGTTAGTTTTTTAAACTTAAAGACCAAATAGAAACATATCCGTTTTAGAACTATTTTCTAAAAATCAAAGACCAAACCGTTAGTTTTTTAAACTTAAAACCAAATAGAAACATATCCGTTTTAGAACTATTTTCTAAAAATCAAAGACCAAACTGTTAGTTTTTTAAACTTAAAAGATAAAAAAAAACATATCCACAAATTTAAAGATCAAAAAGTGTATTTTACTCTAAAATTTACATAAATTAGAAATTAAGGCTATTAGAGAAATTATATATAAGTTAAAATCCTAATTTGTTCATCTTAAAAAAGAAAAATCTCTTGTACTTCCCTTTTTGTCCATTTATATTTTATACTAAAAAATTGTCTATTTTAATTTCTATACTCACTAATGTTTTATTCCTATTTGCAAAATTAATCCAAATTGTATATAAAAAAAAGTTGTTTAATACAAAATAGACTCATTTTCAAAAAAATAAAAATAAAAAATAATAAAAAAATAACAATAAAATAAAATAAAAAATAGCCTAGTGTTAAGCTGTAATTATGAAAAAAAAAAGAAAAAAAAAAGAATGAGACTAAGAAAAAATCACTTTTGAGAGACAAAAATCAAAATTGATAAAACTGTGTGAATTTATTATGGAAAATAGGAAAATAAGGCTGAAGTTTTGCCACCAAAACCAAATCAACAGACATGAATTCTGCAACTGCAAGAGTTCTGATTCCCCATCTTCCCTTTCCCTCTTCTTCTTCTTCATCAAACCCTAACCCTAAACCTTCAAAACCACTCAATCGATTGCCGAGCCGCCGTTTATTCCTCTTCTCCCTCCCCACAGCCACCGCTTTTGTGCTCCCCATTCCCACCAATCCGATTCTACCGAGTTCTTGCGGTGCTCTCGAGGGATTCAACCCTGTCACTCCCTCTGAGAGGGACGCCAGTGCCGCCGTCTCCCGCAGAGTATCAGAGGCCGTGGAGCTTCTTGATAAAGGCAGGGAGTTGCAAGCTCTTGGTGATTTCAATCGTGCTCTTCTCTACTTCACTCAGGTTCTCACTAGCTTTGCTGCATTATCGGCTAGATTTCATATATTAGTCAAATAGAAATGGGATGGAGAGAAATTGCACAGATGACTTTCACTGGAAAATTTTAGGAAATTTCATAGGATAGTAGAATGCATAAAGTAGTTCTGGTTTGAGCCCGCATGGGGCAGCCCGGTCGGTACTTGAAACCTCTTGATCATTCTGGTTTAGATATCTCAAATTTGAACCATTGATACCAAAAACCCTTGATATAGCGCAAGTGTGCTTGGGTATAGGGAAGCAAAACTCCAACTCTCGGTCTCAGGAAAAAGAAATAATAATAATAGTAGTTCTGCTTTGAAGGTGAGACACATGCTAGAATGAAATTCTTATGCTTTCTAAATAATAGCCCTACGTATATGGTGATCCATTGGGATGTTTTCAGTCTTTCCACCAATTTTTTAGAGTGGTTCTGTGATTTCATTCATCTAGTTGGAATTTTCAAGTCTCAAGCATATTGATAGTTTTTGGGACTCAATGGAATAAAATCAATGAGGCTTACAAAATGTCCAGAACATGGAGATTTATGGAAAAGGGTATTTATCTGTTTTTTCTTTTTAAATGATAAGTTGTATCCAAGGGAACTTTCTTTCTACAAAAATCAAATTTCGAAGCAGTGTTTTCGAGGCGCACCTAGGCGAGCGCCTCAGGCGAGAGGCAAGGCGATTTCGCCTGGGAGCGCCTTAAATGGTGCCAAGGCGAGCGCCTTCAACCGGGTGCTCGCCTTGGTGCGCCTCCCTGCACCTGGCCGCGCCCTCGCCTTATGACGAGGCGAGCGCCTCATTGAAGCGAGGTGTTTCACGCTGCTTTTTTTTTTTTCTTTTTATGTTAAAAACCCACAAAAAGCATCCCTGAAAACCGAATATCCACAACCCAAAATCAAAATACCCACACCTCCTTCGCTGTGTCCACCACTTTCGTCCTTGTATTATAAGTTTTTCGATTTTTCTCTTCGATTCTTCCTATGTTTGCTTCAATTCTTCTTCAATTATTCAATTATTCTTCGTCAATTCTTTAATTGAGAAAAAAACCAAACAATAGAAGAATTAAAATTTAAGAAAGAAAAGAACCAAACAATAGAACAGTAGAAAACAAAGAAGAAGAGTTGGAGAAAAAGAAGAATCAAGGAAGAGGTTGGAGAATAATGGAAGAAGAATTGAAGAGAAATTTGAAAAACCTGCAAATTGAAATCATGTCGCTTCGGTTCTTCTCTCCTTTTCTTTTTTTACATTTCCAAGCCGCTCTCCTTTTCTTTTTTTATATTTCCAAGCCACACTAAACAAGTGCTGGTGCTAGAAAATACACACCTGCAATAAAATTGCCATCTGGTGGCAACACTTCCCAATGACAATAAGCACTCCCTATTTTAATGCATGGTTTAATTTAAATACAAATGTTTTTATATCTTTCTATTTAACCACTGTCTACTAATTTTTTTTTTGAATTTATATTTTTAATTTTTCTTAAATATTTGAACTTATTTTTAATTTTTCTTAATTATTTAAGTTAAACTTTATTTGCACATTAAATGGTTGTACAAATATTTGCATTTAGAGTATTTTATTTTTACTAAAATTACTATAGATAATATTTATTTATTATTTTATTAAATGTGCCTCGCTTCAGTCGGGCGTCGCCTTTTTATCGCCTCTCGCCTCTAGGCGACAAGTCCTTTGATCGAAAACACTGTTTAAAAGGACTTGTCTAGGCAATCAAAGGACTTGTCGCCTTGAGGTGCGCCTTGTGCCTCGAAAATACTGTTTCGAAGTGAGGTTTCGATAGAGATAATACCAAACAATTAACATAAAATGCGTCTGTTTAAAAGTATAAGAAATAGAAAGCAAAATTTTGTCTTATTTATCGAGAAATTGTTCCAAGTTCTGCAGGTTGTGATGGAATATAGGAGTTTAACTCAATTTGGAGAAGTAATAATTTTGTGAGTAAAACTAAATGCTACTAAAATACAAATAGTTGTCTCATACTTCTCTCTGACTGTTGTTTTGAGAATCAAACTAAAGGCAGCAAAAATTTGATGATATTAATTTGATCTTTTGTTTAAGAAAAATCAAAATGAAGTGGATTAGCATGTGAGAGGAAGACGTTAGAATCCTTTTCCCTTGAAGTTCATTGTCAATCTGCATCCATCATTTTATTGAAAGAAATATACTTACATGTCAAGTCAACATATTTTGATTTAAGTTCTCATTAAAAATGCAAGCTTCGTTCTTGTCTCATATCAGGTAATTGATAGTTCTTGTCTCATATCAGGTAATTGATAAATATAAAGATTTTGCTTTCTCGGACTATGCCCGAGTAGGCAGAGCCTTGGCGCTGTATGAAATTGGTGACCGAGAAGAAGCAATTGCTGAGATGGAGGATGTTTCCATATCATTGAAGGGATATCCAGGTACTTGAATAGATTTTCCACAAATTTTGGATTCTAGACCTACAAACCGAAAAGGCCCAAGACCTAGATGAAACAACAGTTTTAGCTAAAAAAAGAAAACTTAGACCTTACAATTTTTATTACTAATTGAATGTACTGAGAATATTTTTTCTAATGATTCTTCAAGCGAAGCTTTGTCGGAAGGTAAAACTTGTAATACTTATTCAAATTTAAAGTAAAAACACTTATCTAAGTTTAAGGTTAGTGTGATGAAATTGAAAGTTTATGGCAAAATGATACGCATGGCCAAATTCAGGAGTAAAGATTGTGTTTTTATACATCAAATGGATGATTTAGGGCTGTAATGTTCCCATCCTACAACTAATGTTTACAGGGATTCTCTCTCTTTCTTTTCTGGGTGGCAGTGATAAGTTCTGTTAAACATCATTAATATGTAGTGTGAAATTCAAAATGCTCTTTAGAAACTAGTTGTGTGTTTCAATTCATGTAGAAACTAAAGGTCGGTTTAGTAAGGGCTCGTTTGGTAACGTTCCTGTTTCTTGTTTCTGTTTCCTTTTTTTAGGTCTCCAACACCCATGGATGCAAGAATGATAAAACAAAATTTTTGTTTACGTTGGAACAAATGGGAAACAGAAACAAAAAATAGAAACTTGTTTTTGTTGTTTCCAAAATTTCTATACAATTTTGTAAACGTTTCTAAAAAATGAGAAATAAGAAATATAAATAGTTGTCAAATACTTAGATTTCTTAATAAAATTGGAAATGAGAAACAAAAAACGGGAATGTTACCAACCAAGCCTTAATGGTCTCATTTCTTGTTTCTTGTATCTTATTTTTTATATTGATTCTTGAATCTTGTTGTCCAAATTTGTAAGAAAGAAAAAGTAGAAATGTCTTTGGTACCTGTTTCTTGTTTATTATACCTATTTTACAATAAAAGAGAGAGAATAAGATACAAGAATGAAAAATTTCTTCGATAACCATTTCTTGTTCCCTATTCTCTCAAATATTAATTTAAAAAATAAAAATTTTACATCAAAATTAAATTTTTAAATAAAGTATCATAAATTTTTTTGTTATATTACATTTTTTAACATTTATTTATGCATTTTATATCCTATCCAAAAATTATGCATTTTATAAGCCAAAAACAATAAAATATTGTTTGGAAAATTGGAAATAGAAAAAAGTAATTAGTTTTTGTTGTTTTCAAAGTTTGTACACAATTTTGGGAACGTTTCTTAAAAATGAGAGGGGTGAAACATAAAAAGTTACTTGTTTCCCAAAATTCTAGAAAGAGGAAATGGAAATGAAAACCAGAAATGTACCAAACGACTACTAAAAGACCGAACTGTTAACTATACAGTTCAAGTTGATAAATAAAATTTCTTCCTTGGTGTCTCTTTTCTTATGCATATCCTGCATTTACTATATTTTGGTAATATGTAGCACACAAGGCTATGTAGCCATAAAGAATCATGTGTACTGGCCTTGATGTATCAGTATATTGTTTTGCAGAAGTTCATGCCGCACTGGCCGCAGCTTTATATGTGGACAAACACGCTCCGTTGCTCGCTGAAAATCAGTTCACCATTGCGACTCTGCTTGATCCTCATTACGTGGATATCTCATATGTGAAAGAAACAAAGCACTGGCCTCCTAGTTTGATTAGTTCTTTGCAACATTTCTTAACGCTTTCTTAGGCACTTGTGATAATATATATACAGCTCGTGGGATCATAATTCTCAATTCCTCATTTTGTAAGTTTATACAAAGTTTATTAATAGTCTATAGGGTACTTGAGAGTGACATCGGTAAACGACTGTACACTCTATGCTTGTCTAACTACAAATACCATGTAAGTAGTTGAAAATTGTTTATATTTAATCTCTTATTCCTTAACTTGTAATATAAATTGATATCTTCATTTTACTGAAATGCTCATTCCATTCATGTCCTTAGATGCAATGGGGATGATTTTAGTCTATTCGGTACTCTTTCATTTTGCTTTCCCAAGTATTGGCAACCGTAAAGAGTGTGTTTGGAGCAGAAAAACTATGAGCGCACGGCTGGATAATGGAGGCATCAAAATCGTCATTAGTTATTTTGAACGTCGATTGACCCCTACTACTTGGAAATGGAAGTCACAATTTAGAAAGGCTTTTCTTTCACGCTGAAAAGTCTTCTTGCTGTGACTATATGCACTGATCTTATACTTTTAGTGCTTTCCTATTTATCTTTCTAATGGGGAGACCACAATGGTTTGTCCTAGAGTTATTATGGGTCTACTGTGGGTCCTCATCTAGTAAAAATTGCTCTTTCTAGACCATTGTGGCATTCATATAATGGTTTCGCACATGGAACTTTTCCATCTCTTTCAAGAAAGTTCACAGGAAATATTTTGCCTCAAGTAACTTTTGGTTTGTATAACCACAAACTTTCAAATCAGCCTTCTTTTTCTCATTTTCAATTATTTATGGTTTTGATGTCTTTTTTGGCAAGGAGAAGTTCCATCAGAAGTATCTGCCAGTATGCAACAATTGAAGAAAGATGCTGGTTGGTTCAGAATTCAGATATGCTCTCATTCAAGCAAAATGCCATTGCTGACAGGCGAGCAGGGAGTGCTTCCAGCAAACTGAGTGGGCCATCAAGCATGTGCCCTGCCCCTGCCCTGCCTCTCTAAACCACATGTAAATTTGGCTTTAGATAAGGAGAACCTTGCAAAATCTCTGCAGTACTGATTATTTTTGGATAACGGAGAGTTGAAGCTTTGCTCTCCTATATCCACTCCAATACCCGAGGGCACCCACGCCTACTCCAAGATCCGGATCTTGGAGACATCAAAGATTTTTTGTATTAAGTTCATTAGAAGGTTCGAACTTAAGACCTCTAAACTAGTATCATCAAAGACACCTTAAACCCTTGCCAAACAGGCTGGTCCGTGGGAACTCTCTACAGTACTGACATTATTATTGAGCTGTAAGTGATGGACAATTATTATTAAGCTGTAAGTGATGGACACTTGTCATGATGATTAATCAGGTGCAATATGACTCTTGCAGGCATTCAGTTCCCAAGCTGCGATTGGATAATTGAAGCTTGATCCACACATCATCAACGGCTGTGATTATGTCTCAGGTTCACTTAATCTAATCTGCTTTATTGATTTTTCTTGTATCAAATCAAATCATACCTAATTTTGTGTTATGATTGTTTGATTGATGAGAAAGGCAGGTATGTTTATTGTATTGTAAGAGCTTCCAGATACAGAATGTGGCTTTTCATTCTGAATATAAATGATTCTGAAATGTATTTGCATGTGACTGCAAATCTCCAATGAGTGAATTTCTCTATACCTGATGATGCTGTACCCTACTTGGATATTCTTTTGTAGCCAATCAATTTTGCAGCCTATAATGTTAAGATTCACATTTGGGGGGAAAAAAGGAAAAAAAGAAAAGGCCCCAAAAAGGCTGAGGGGATATAATAGTAATATCACACCTTACATATTCCTTTTGTCCTCAACCCACTTGGATCTAAGAAGCTTGAGCAGGATTCTTGCCTTTGTTTTGGTCTTTACACAGCACTGACTCTGCAAAAGCAGAAGCAATTGACTCAAAACTCCACCTCTAATGGCTTCTTCTCTTGCTTCTACTGAATCATAACATAGAATTATTAGTGAACTAACAGCACTTTCACTGCCTCCATGATCTGATACTCTAAACACCATCTTCACAATAGCATTTACACCATCTGTGCTGTTTACCACTTCCTCTTTTGCGCTTCTTATGACCAAAAGTTTCTCAATTGCCGCCATTGCCACTCGTGCGGAGCTTCTTTCTCGTCGTTGAGCATTAGAAATGTATGAAATAAGTCCAGCAACCGCACCATCTGCCACCAAATTGATAGCGTTTTGTTCCAAGTTAGATAGTGAAAATATGGCCTTGGTTGCTGCATCCGAGGCCTCCGAGCTCTGGTGAAGAAGCCGAACGATTTCGTGCAAGAGCTCGGTAGCATTTCCGAGCAAAGCACCGAGATCTTTTGTCTCAACTGAAGATGATATTGCCTCTACAAGATGACACAAACTGATCTTGATCATGGGAGTGCCATGATTGAACAAATCTATGAACCTTGAAAGCTTAGACTCCTCCATTAGCACATTTAGGGACTGTAGCTGACCAAGAGAAACCATAGTAACCACAAAACCAAGCGCTCGCTCTACAAATTCCTGGTACTCTTGTGATAGTTTGGCGTCTGTTTGTCCAAAAACCAACTCCAAAAGCACTGACAAGAACCCAAATTGTACCAAACAGGAATTACAAGAAGGAAACTCTTCACTTAAAATCCTAACTCTTTGGAGAACTTGGAGCTTGTACCCAAAAGAAAACTCATTAGATTCAAGTTTGCTTCTCAAAGCAGCCAAGGAATCAATAGCAGAGAGGCAGTGAGGATTAATTTGGTCACCGTCACCCATCTGCAGCCACTGGGTAATCAAATGGCGAAGATTATTGTTAGGAACAAAAGAAGGGTCATTGAGCTTCTGCATTGTGACAGGACATGTGAGATTGCCAGTGGCCAACCATTTCTCAATGCTTGATCTCTCATAGGTCTGTCCTGTGCAAAGGGTCACAGGATCTTTAAACAGATCCAGGCTTATGGGACATCTAAACAAGTGAGGGATGGTCTCATGAGCTTCTTTCATGGAGGAGGAAAAAACAAACAAGGAGTGACTATGGCTATAAGAAATTTGGTAAAAGAGGGGATATGCCAGTCTTTGTGAAGTGGGTGATAATAAAGATACAGTGGAAAGTTTGTTCAAAAAAAGGAGAAAAAGAAAAAATGAAGAGGTTGATCAAGTTCCTCAAAGGCTGTTTTAGTTTCAAAAGCCTAAAGGTGAGGAAATGAGAGAGAGAGAGAGATGGAAACTGGTATAGAAATGGCAATCAGAGAGAGAAAGGGAGGGCAGAGAGAGAGAAAGTAAAGGAGATTTAGAAAGCAAAAGCTAAAGAGGAAGTGATGGGAAAGAAAAGTAGGCAATGTTATGACTTACACAGTTGTTAAGGGAAAGTACTGATATGGTCTGAGCTAATGCTGTTCATACTGACAGACATAACAAGGAGAAGGAGAGAGAGGGACAAATTAGGGGTTATCCTAGTGAGATGAGTAAGAGATTGCAACTAATGATATGGAAGAAGTGTGAGGAAAATTGGTCCCCATTCCTTATATATAGAATTCAGTCAAACTGACCCACCATGGAACAATCATAATTATTGTTTTGAAGTTTGAATCAACCCTCATAATATGCAAAAGTGGAGGAAAAACAAACAAACAACAAAAAAAAAAAAAAAAGGAGGAAAATAATGGGTCTTATTCCTTGAGAGAGAGGGAGTTTTGACTCAGAATTGGGTCTTCTTCCTCAAGAGAGAGGAAGAAAGAGTTTTTGGCTGATAAATGTTAAAACGGTTGTTAATGGAGGATTTCGAGCTACGTACCCGTCAACACGTGAGTCGAGGTGAATACTTGATTTCGCAACTATTTCGAGCTAGATACTTGTTGACGTGCGAGTCGAGGTGAATATTTGATTTCAGTAGTTGACATGCCATATACACTCCGAAGTTTAATTTAGAATTTAGTTCGAGTTGGGCGTTGAGCTGGGTTAGTAACGTTGGGTATCGATTGTATACCTTTGTAGGGGGAACTCCAAGGAGCTATGGAAAGCGTTGCCTTGCCATTTTGGCGCTCTGCGCCTAGATTCCCTGCATCGTAGGATCATTTGTCGACAATATTTTTGTTTCGAGATTAAGCTCGAACTTAGAGTTTTAGACTAGCTCCTATTTGTCTTAGGCATGTTCGAATTGAGGCCCGAACACATGTCCAGTGTCGAGGGGGCCACATGGCATGTCCTAACCTAATCTCTAACAAATGGTAATCACAAGGTAGAAATCTCAATTATAACACAGCACAATAATCTTACGATCAATGAGTCATCATATCCTATTTTCTCTTTTCGTCCGCACGTGCGAGTGCAATGCATGTAACATGAGCATATATTCACTCATGCCTAGAAGGTATGTAAACAAGCAATATCTTTGAAGAAGCCAATTTATTATACATTGGCTTTTCCTTCTTTAGGAACAAGTATTTGAATATGGCATTCCATCACACATGAACCTTTTTGCAGCAAAGAGGCCAAAGTTAACTTGTTCACTTAAAGTTTAAGAAAAAGCTAGTCAATTCAATTCAATAAACAAATGAATAAAAGAATAATTGCCAACTGCACCTTATAAATTATACTTTATATTCCCATCAGAACTTTGCAGTTAAGAGAAAAAAAAATTATACCCATATGATTTCAAATGTATAAACGTTTTTTTTAATACAACATGTGAGGGTGGGGGATCGAACTCGACCTCTTAGTTAGAGATATATGCCAATTATTATAGAGTTATGCTCGCTTTTGCTCAATCATACAAACCTTGTTATTAATAATTAGTTTAAATAAAATGTATACATGAAGTTGTTATTAATAATTAGTTTAAAAAAAACTGTATACATGACATACATGGAACGACACGATTGGTTGCAAAATTTTATCAAAGAGTGATTTTTAGATTTTGCAAACTATAATTGAAGCAATTTTTTTAATAAACTACAAAGACATACTGTTTTAATCCAAATTGATTTCAAAAGTAAATTTCTCTTACAATCTAAAAAAGACACTAAATGAAAAAACATGACTTTCTTCCAACATATTTCAATGAAAACATTATCAAATGTAGGTTAGATTTTTGAAAATTAGATGGAAAATGACCTAATTCCCTACGGTTAGGGAGCCATGTATTTTCCATTTCAAAATTGAATGAGGTTTGAGAATTTCTTTTTCTTTTTTTAGTATAACATAGGAGGTGAGGATTCAAACTCTTAACTTCATGGTTGGATACATGTACCTTAACCCGCTGAGATTTGAGATTGAATGCACGCAGCCCACAATATTTATGTGAAGTGTGGCGGCGATGACATTACGAAAACAGAATAAATTCCATCCTAACTTGGACTTTTTGACTATGCTAAATTTCCCAACTCACTAGTATAAGTGTAGTCTATTTTTCCACAATGTCATGGGATCCATATGCATTATGAATGGGTGACCCAATTCCTCTTTAGTCCAATTTAGGTACGACTTTATGACGGGTTATGTATCGGTCATATATCGGTTTGAATCTTATTTTGGCCTCTAAATTTTTGGGACTTTATTTTATTTTCATCTTTGAATTTTTAAAATCCTATTTTAGTTATTAAATTTTAGAAAAATAATTATTTTGGTTTTTGTGTTTCTATCCATTATTTCAAACGTGGATGACAAGATTTGAAATATGTGGATTAACATTGTTCGTTTCGGCATGAACTATATATAAGACTTATATGGATAAGACGAGCGTTGGGGAAATGGATATTGACAGTAGAATAATAACAAAGATATAAATGACTATTTTGTAATTGAAGTTTATGAAACTACAATTGATATTTTGAAAGTTCAGATTCTCAAAATTATTGGACTAAGGTTGAAAGTTTAGGCTAAATATATCAAATTTTCCTTAATTATCATTATTATTTTTCTCAATTTTTGAATTCTCAATTAAGTCTTTTGAATAAAAGTATGTTAAAACTTGTCAATAAGATAATAATTTATATCCATGATTTTTCTGGTAAACGTTTTCCCATGTAAATTATTGTGTATTTCCTTTATATTTTCTTCATTTATTTTGCGATCTATTATTATTTTTTTTTAGCAATTTGCTTTTATCCTTTCTTCGTTGAAAATTTTATGTTTGATTATTGGATGGGTGAATTAAAGAGAAAATTATTCAATAACATAATATGAAATTTTTTATTTTCTCCATAAATATGGTTTTAGTTTTGAAAGTTATAGTTTTTCATTTTTCTTTCTTTATTTCCTTTCTATAACGTTTAAATATGGTTTTTTCCACATGCTTTTATTTATTTTCTATTTTAGTCTTTTACATCTTAAAAATTTGGTTTTCATTTCTAATTTTAATCTTTCAATTTTGGTTCAACTTCATGTTTAGTCATATCAAAATCTTATTTTGAATCATTGAAAAATGGAAGGGTAAATAAAAACAGCCATTAATCCATGTGTCATATCCCATATATTACCACTTGAGATGATAGGTTTATTAAAATTTGGACTAAAATTAGGATTTTAGAAAAAGTTAGACAAAAGGAAAAAAAAAAGTAAATAACATTACTAGAAGTTAAAAAACCAAAATATAGAAAATTTTAGAATTTCAAAATAAAAAGTTATGTGTAGAGAAAAATTTATTTCTGGCATGTTTAATTTGTCCGGTCAATCTGGTTAATACTAAGATATTACTAAGCATCTGTTTGATAATATTTTCGTTTCTTATTTTTCATTTTCAATTTTATTAGAAAATTTGAACATTTGTTTCTTGTTTCTTAATTTTTAGAAACATTCTTAAAATTGTGTAGAAATTTAAGAAGCAACAAAAACAAGTTTCTTATTTCCGTTTCCAATTTATTCCAAAATATAAATAAAATATTGGTTTATCATTTTTAAATCTACGAGTACTGGAACATGCAAGTCTATTTGAATTTAGTATTAAGAAAAGAAAAACCAATCATATTAGGTCAATTAAATTAAACCATTGTTAATGGGTTAAGTAAAACCACAATTCAAATGGAGGAAAAAGACAAGTTGATATCTTTTTCATTCCATTTTCTTTTACAGCAAATTCTTTTAATTTATTAAAAAAATTAAATGTCAAAAAGGGCAGTCAAGAATATTTTTGCTTTATTGTTCCCTCAAGATTAGGTAAGTTTGGCCAAAAGATATTGGAAGAGAGAGAGAGAGAGAAAAATCCAAGCAACAAACAGACAGATGAAAGAGAAATATCATAAGAATTCAAAACAAGAATTTATAAAAAAAGAAAAGAAAAGGGAAAAAAAAGGAAGAAAATTAAATGATCTTTTGAACACAATCTTGTCGGCCAGTTGAACAGTTCAAATTACACTAATAATTATCTTTTTATAAGATTTTGGACACTCTCGTGTAGCATGTATATTTATTTTTATATTTCACATTGTCAAACTTTTTTGATTCGAGCACAGCTGAATGGATAAGATTTAATTCAACTCAATACGAGAAAATAGAAAAAAAAATTTCACTTTCCTAGCATAAAATTTATATATATTGTTAAAAATATCACAATTTAACATAGAAAGTTTGATTATGAGTATGTTATTTTCATAAGATTTTAAAATTTTTACCCTACTTTAAAATATATATTTGGTGGGCAAAATAGGGGGTTTGGGAATGAATTTTGTTCACACGAAAACTCTTACTTTAGTCCCGACTCAACAGTTGTAAATCCGAGTATACCGCTGGTTGGGATGAGTAGGTCCACCACTTAACTTTCACTTAAGCTTGGGCCATATCGCTGGTGCGGGACCCTTTTGAGGGGAGAAAGGGCAGCTGGGCTGCCTTTTCAATCAATCTCCGACCGCCTCTTTTCGGGCATAGCTGTTCACAAAACGTGGTATGAGACATTTGTCGACGGTAGGGTCTGACATCGTCCGAGCATGTTTGCTAAAAAAATAATAATAATAAATTTTGTAAGGACTGAGTTCTAGTCGCTCAATCTATATCATTTATTTTTTCTATTT